TCTCGGCTGTGCGCTGCTTGGCTCGGAGCTCTCGCGGGCCGCTGCTCGGCTCATTCGCCATAAGACACAATCCTTCGGCTATTCCTCCTTCTCGCTGCTGCTGCTGCTGGGTATTATACGACTCTTTTCCATTTCACTTTCACGCAGGCCACTCGCGCGCGCCTATATAGCATAAGAGAGCCGCGCCGTCGCGTATATATACACACGCGAGTGCTCACGAACGCGCGAACGCGCAATATCACGTCAATCCGCGACGCCGCGATCTGTGTGTGTGTGTGTGTGTATATAATGTACGAAGACTCGCGCGGACTTTGATTAGGCGCGTTTAGACCTTTACGTATATGCATGCGAGTAGTGTGCGAGCCGCGTCGCGGCTCTTTTCTCGTACATGTGCACCGTGTTATGTGCCGCACGGGCAGATGAGTACGAATTATACACATAATGAGCAGCACAATGATACTCGCGCGAGAGTAAAACAGAGAGAGAGACGGAGAAAAGAGAGATATCCTGCAGTGGCGGCATCAACGCGTATACCTGCGCGCTCTCGATCGACTATGGATTATGCGCGCCTGCGATCGTTAAGCACATTTTGGCGCTCGGCGCGCGGCACCGATCGTGCACGAACTCGATGAGATACAGTTTTGCTCTCGTATGCATATAAGTTTATAATCGTTGATGATATTCCCCAGTTAATAAATATAAATTTTGATACCTTGGTTTTGGGTGACACTTCGAATGAAATAAAAATAGCTTGAATTTTTTTCGCAAAAAATATACTCGAAGATTATGCTCGAAAAATTCTGATTTTTGTCCTGTCTCAATAATCGCTTGATGCACGAAGATTTTTTTCATTATTATCATGGTCATTCGCATTTTATGGATTCATAATCTTCGATCGTCGAATATCAAAATAAATTTCAAATTTGCTAAAACAAGCTTCATCGCGCTTTTTTGGGCACATATTCATCAATAATGTAATCTGATATTTAAATAATTTTTTTTCTTGGTTTTCACTGTATAAATTGAATACCATTCAAGAATTCCAAATATGCACACCTTTCACGGTAAATACATAGTGATTATTGCTTCGTTTCACATTATCCACGGCAAAATGATGAATTGATGTATTGGATTTTCCAGAAAAAAAAATAAACGACCTGTTAAATGAAGCATAAAATTTTTTTTAATCTTTTTTCAGCTGCGATTTATTTAGCACCATACGTCGCACTTAACTCAAGACATTTTCCAAAAAGCAATAAATATCTTCAAGTCGTGTAAACGTGAGCAATTACATTTATGCGACATTAAATATCTACATTTTTTGGTTTTTTTGGTTTTTCAGTATTCCGTCAGTCACGCCAAATGTCCTAAAAACATGACCTATTGAATTCCATTTCAAAAACCTTGCATTCTTTTGGATCTCATTTATTATATAGAAAAAAAATGAAAAACTTTGCTAACCACTTTGAATGTTAATAAAACCCGAGAGCAAAGCATTTCAGTCTCTAGCAAAAAAACTCGTCCAAACAGAATTTATCAGGGCAGTCTCGCGCTAATACATATGAGGAGAGGAAAAAAATTGTTAAGCGAAAGGTGTCCTTGCTAAACAATCAGATCTCCGTGATCTTTGAGGAACAACCGGATGCAATGTTTACCGTGCTAGACGATTTATCCCCGTTACCTTCAACGACCTCGCCACGCGCGCGGCACCTTTGGGAACTTTTGATTAATAATCATAATTTAATTTGATTTATTGATTTTTATTTTTAGGTCTCGTCAGAATAAAAGCTTTAACGATTCATGTATCAATATTATACATGCTTATTTATAAATAAATTTTTGAATTTTATACAATATCTTATTTTTAAATAATTTCAAGGTAATGTATTTTCTATTATTTGATTTAAATATCATTGTAGTTAATAAACAATTTAAATATTGCAACGTGGGCTAAAAATCTTGATATTACTTTTTAACCATAAACGGAAAATTAAATTAGTTGTTTTTACGTACAAACTATGTATTGTGTGTAGGAAGAATAAATAATAATAATAATAATTATAAAAATGATTATAATGATAATTATAATAATGATTAAATGTAAAGAAATGATAAAAATACACTTCAAGGAAGAGCACATTCTGAAAAAACAAATATTCCTTTCATCGGGAAATCAGTCGAGAAGAAAATTTCTTAAATAATCCGAAATTGTTTAGAAAGTTGTTGTCATCAAACCGAGTGAGCGATAACACACTTTTATTTGCACGAGATAGATGAACGAGTCTCTAAATAAACGAGTTTGAGATAAATTCGTCGCCGAAACATGTCCAGCCAATCAAACATGCAAACGAAGCCAATCGAAGCTGGTATTTTCGCGATAAGAGGCCGCCGATTTGATAAGTGGCAACAGGTACCGCCGGCGCCGCCGCGACTCCAACGCACCAACCGACAGACAGGATACCGCGCGCATATAATAATAACATTAAAGTCCGAAACAATAATAATTGTGCGCAGCGCCGAGACTCGGCGAGTTCGTAAAAAAAATCGACGCTCCGCGACACGCTTTAAACGCCGCTCAGCAAAAGATCGGTGAAGAAATCGGTTATGGTAGCAACAGCGCGACTCGGCGCACACATGCCACTGGCCATGGCGCATATAATAATACAATATCTAGGACTGAAAGCCGCACGTATACGCACACACACGGGGGGGCTGATTTTTATTCTCTCTCTCTCTCTGTCTTTCTTATATTAGTTGGAGCCGCCGCTGCGGGCAGCTGTGCATGCGAGTATTATAATGCTTCGAGCGCCGCCACACCCGCGCGAGCCTTGAACTGGCCACCTTCGCGAGCTTACAAGCGCGCCACTGCATACATGTATACACGCGTGCACGATAAGAAAAACCCGTTCTAATCAATCTGCAGGAGAGCTGCGTAAAATTTATTCTCCATCCGCCATGTGATAGCGAGGTAAAAAAAAAAGAAGTAATGGTAAACGAAAATCGTCCGCGAGCAGTATCTCGAACTTTATCGGCCGCGGCAAGCAGCTTCTACATCCAAGGTTAAATCTTCCTCGTGTGGGGCGCGAGCCGCTAAAGTTAAAAATCGAGGTTTGCACGGTGTAGCTACGCGCGAAACTGAATCGCCGAGGACAGAGAAACAGAGAGAGAGAGAGAGAGAGAGAGAGAGAGAGAGAGAGAGAGAGAGAGAGATCTTTAGTGGTCGCGTAAAGATCGCCGATACGGATTGTACTTTTAGTTCTTCAAAAAGTGATCGTGGGAGTAGATGTTTATATATACAGCGGTCACGCGTTTATATGCCAGCTCGAAGCTATTACATGCTTGTATTTATATGAAAACAACAACCGTTATAAAGAAAGAGAGCGAAAGTAATGGCGGATCTTTGTTGGAACTAGTTGCGTACATAATCCACGCGTCTCTCTGCATGCAGCCTATGATACTACAAGTATGTAACAACTGCGCACACATATATAATATGATTGTTTTATAAAGTTGTATCTGAGCCTTGAAATACATATTGAGAATTTTATTCTTTGTGGAAACGGCTTTTCGTATTGTTTTCATTTGTTCATTGCCGTGCTTTGCAAAAAGTTGAACCTGCATTTTTGCCATTATATATCTTATGCTCGAATGATATACGCGTGCTTACTGCTTGTACAGCAAACGACGACCAGCACCCTAAAACGATCTACGATAAATTCGTGATTTTATAAAATAAGCATTGAATATCAATATCATGATACGTGGGAATACCTATCTAAGCAAAGCATGAAATAAAAAATGGTAAAGATGAAAGGGGGTACCAAAAAATTTACCCCAAGAAGTATATTTTCTTACATTATAAGAATGATGAAGTTTTTAGCGTGAACAGTTTATAAGCGCTGTGATTGGTCATTCAGTAGCTTGCAATTGTTCAGTAGCATGCAAATACGAGTGTTGTAATAGGTCGAGTAAGTGGATTATTAACCTATTAACGGCTTAAGACTAATTTCGTCTATTTTATTTTTTCATTTTAAATATTGGAAAGTGGCAAAATGGGATAAGAAAGAACAGAGCGCGCGCTGAAAGTTGGGCTAGTAAAAATTATTTTGGAAAAAATCGGTAGTTTTGCGTAGACGCAATTTTGACCTTTAACTAGCTTTGAGCTTCAGGAGAAGAGTTTGTTGTGGAATGAACGAAATTGTATATTGCTAGTCTCGTTCCAAAAGTGGTCCCACTGAGCAAAGAAGGAAATGGTTCATCCCGCAGTGGGCGTAGTAAATTTAATTACTTAAATTGTTTATTACTTAAATTTTTTATTACTTAAATTTTTTATTACTTAAATTTTTTATTACTTAAATTTTTTATTACAACGGGCGGAAATAGTATGTAACGTGCCTAGGGAATGAAAAACTGGAAAGCCTCAGAGCACGCGTAATTAACGGCCGAGGCGAAGCCGAGGCTGATAAACATGTGCTCTGAGGCTTTCCAGTTTTTCGCTTCTTAGACACGTAATATACTATTTAAGATCTTTAGCTGTACTTTCTGCAAACTATGATGAAAAAGTTATTTTTATGTCAGAGAAGATGAAAAATAGTACTGAAATACACCACTTTGTATAATAATGCTTTGTATAGTAAGACAGTTACATTTTATTATTTATCTTACAAAAGTAAAATTTTTAATAAAAAAATTTAACTAAAAAAGTTTTTCAATATTTCTACATTTTTGTGTACTGTGTAGAAAAACATCTACAATTTGTTTAAATATTTCACCAAAAATTAATTGTAAAATTATTCTCAGCTCAAAGTATTTTTTCAGTTCACATACCGCTTGATCAGTCATAGAATTGGAAGGTAGAGTATTCAATTATGTTTTGTTTCGACTTTTGATCTTCATTAAACAATTTTTACTTTACTTTTCTATACTTATATAAATCAAAAAAAGTTTAATTTCAAATTAACGTGTAGAGATAAATAATAAAAATTTTCGCATGACTTAAATCAATAATTTATTAATGAAAAACGCTCAAAATAATGTTTCCAAAAAATATGAATCATCCACGTTCCAACTACCCCACTGAGCCACTAGTGACCTTGTACACCCGCAGAGATATATTTTCTATATCCGAGATTTAAATAAAAAACTTTTGAATAAAAATTATTGAGTATTGTTTGAGTATTGTTTGTTATAACTGGATGGAAAATTTCACTGAATATCCCATATTTCTACTAGATCTGAACAACAAATTGAGCGACGAAATAGTATACTAATAATTTTCAAGTAAGGCTTTGAATTGCCTCCGAAAGTAATTTTTTTCTTACCTTATCAAGATTCGAACAGATACTATTAACATTTCACATGAATTTTATTTGTTCGAGTGTGCTCGGTAACATGCCAGCAAACTCATTCATTTGACCCTCCAAACTGAACCAACAATTCCAATTCCATGTTAATACTTTCAGCTTGGTTGCTTTGTTGAAAATCTTTCTCAAAGTTTCATCGCGCATAGGGGGATACACAGGGCAAACTATCATTTCGTTGAACTGCCCCACGCGTTTCAATAAAAACTCGACAACGTCGTCATGACGGACTTGAAATGTCCAAAAAATTGTTCTCAAGTTGACGGCTTTCTCTTTCAACAAATTAAATATCCTTGATCGCATCTCCAAATCTGAGCGTAAAGGATTTACGTCCTCTTTACTGTAGCACATGCAAACTTTTTTTAAGTACACGACACCCCTCTGCAATACCTGAAAGATTTTCTCGTCAGTGATATTCTTTTCGACCATGAAAGCTTGCCATATATAGTTAATGTCGATCCACGAGCGTTGGGACACAATTTGCCATCTTTTACATACTAAAGAAAGGAATTGGAAATTATTATAATTTTATATTTTAAAGTCCACATATTTGCTCACCTCTCTCTACTGCAATACGATTTTTATAAGGGAAAAACTGAAATATTCTCTCCAAACAATCATCGTTCAATTTGTCGATCAAAGCGAATGAATCCTCTTGATTCCGTGTCATTTGCGATTCTTCTATCTTATCAAACTTAATTTTTTTGGAACTTTCAAGTACCAAAGGCAGAGGATTTGATCGTTTGGTTATTGATTTTGAATTACTTGTAGATTTGGTCGTTGGCTCCAGTTTGTCATGCTATTGTTGATTATTCTTATATTATGCATGTGCGAAATTAATTCATGAGTTTATAAATGTTCGAAACAGGTAGGCAAACTTCCCAAAGTCAAAGTGTTTGAGTCATTTGATCCCGCCACGTGTTGGTCAAGAAATCAATTGTTCTAACGATCAATCAAAGTAGTTCCCGTCTATGCTCGCTACAGTTTACAGTGGAGAAATTGGACTGAGTTTTTTTTTCTTGTGACCATGCATGTCTGATCCGCCGTCCGGAGCCTTCTTGCGCAGACGATCCATGCGCGCTGTTTTTCTGTCACTCGATAGCTATCAACAAGCGCATCTGTCGTTTGGTGCGTGTACTATTCTTCAATCAAATCCATCCACTATGGAACAGAATTCCTGTTCCAGTTGCAGAAATAATTGAATGGATATACAATAGAATGACAATTATTTATAAAATATCTAAAAATCTCACTTTCTGAGTTTTTATCGATAGTTTATCGTGGAAAATCATGATCCCATCAATGACCGTCTTGAAAATGTTTGATGGTGTTAACTGCTAGTGTTGAAAATGATCTACACTCATTTTTCTCACAAAAGAATACACCAAAAAATCAAAGATTTAGAATGACAAACTTTTTAGAACCTCATTGATATTTATCGAATTCTTATTTTCAAAAATGTATTTTTGTTCAAGAAGAGCTTTTTTAGTTTTCTTCGTGTTTTCTCAATTTTTTTGGTACAGGATCGCGATTATTATATTACTGATTGTATCCTAAACGAGATCTTATCAAAAATACGTACTTTTAATGATTAAAGCTGTTAATTAACTCGTACTCATAACTGAGTGCCTTGGTTCAAGCCGATTTCTTTGTTATTGTTTAGTTTTGTATCAGTAGTCTATTCGAACCGATCATCGACCAACGCCTCGCTAAAATTGTCGCAAATTGTTTAATACCTCTCGATCCGACGGCGAAAAATAATCAAAAGAAGCTAAATTTAACATATTTTTTTATTGAAATGGAGATTCCTAAAGATGAATTAGTATTTGAAGTAGCGCAAAATGAAAGTTTGACTGTCGATTTAAAACCAAAGGGATTTGACGAAGAATTGTGAAAATTTATTACAATAATTATTTTTCTATTCTATTCTATTCTATTCTATTCTATTCTTCTTTTCTACTATTCTTTCTTTCTATTCTTCTTATTATGATAGAAAAAAAATAAATTTGATCAACATTAGAAATTACAAATTGCAACATCTTCAATAAATACATCGATACAGTTGCGACTCGAATGCCCAGATATCTGCAATCTAACAACTTTTCTGGCAATGTATGAGATGCACTAACTAAGTATGAAGTTTGCACGTGTTTTTTCGGTATTTGAGATGTTCCGATGGTTGAATATATAAATATTTGTGATGGAAATAGTTTTTCAATGATAAAAGCAAATTATTTCGATTTTTCAAATAAAATTCTATATCAACAAATATTATTTACAATACATTTTACACTGTCTAGTAAGCAATAACTATTTGTATACAATTACTCCTGTTCTTGCTTGTCATAATTTCATGATTTATGACAAATATTAAAATGTATAACAAAGTCTGTACAAAAAGAAATATATAGTTTTTGTGTTTTAGTCAGTCAATTATGCCTCATGCTAAAATGTTTTAGCTTCAGTATCTTGATTTTTCATATCAATCACGACCTGAAAAAAAATCATGTATAACTAAAAAGAAAATCTTTTTCATGATAAAAATAAAAACTTGAATTCTTACTTTTCCACAAGCTTTCATTTCAGAAACAAATTTGAATGCTGTATTCACATGATTAAATCCAGCAATCATAGATGGTGTAGGTTTTATAAGACCTTCTTCGAAAAATGATATCACGTCATCTCCAGTTTGCCTGTATATAAAGAATTCATTTTAATAAAAATTTGAATTTGTTGAGAAATTATAGTTTTGATTTTGTATAAGAATTTTACCGAAATAGTTCATTTTTGCGCTCTTTATATTCATGCAAATTAATGCCTAATACTGTAAAATAATCTTCGTTATCTTTTTTCGCACCATCTGTATCAGCGACTCCAGCAACTAAAATTCTACCTAAAATTAAAATACATAATTTATTTATTGAATGGATTATTTTCATATGCAATCAAATGCTTAATATAGTACCTTCTCTTGATAAATGTTGAATAATTACTCCAAAATTATCATCACGTAATAGATACTTGGAGGGAGTTTTGGATTTGTATACATTCATAAATCTATAAATATTTAAAATAACGTTATTAAGTTTTAATTGGAATGGATATAGCACATTTTTATGAACATACGTTTTAAGAACTTTTTTGAAGTGATCACCAGTCTCTCCATCGAAAATTCCTTTAATGTCACGATCACCGGCTATTTCTTCAATTTCTTTCACAAGTTTTTTTTCTTTATAAGTAAAAGCATGGAAAGCTCCTCTTTCTCTTATTTTATCTGCTCTGTCTTCAGAGAATCCAACTCCTATTACCTGATTAAAGAAAAGTTATAAGACAATATAGATCATTTTTTTCACAGTGATTGAGTAAATGAATTTTCAAGATTTATTACCTTTGATCTAAAAATGTTTGCAGCTATATCAACAGCAGCCAAACCAATTCCACCAATTCCCACATTGACTAGGACCATGTCTTCTTCTGTTATAGACCCATTTTGTTCAAGTCCAAGGAGAGCTGTCATATAATTTTCCAATAAGCATACAGCGTCAACAGATCTTATTGTAGATGGTACTTTCCAGACATTCTTTAAAATTAAAAAATTACATTTTATTTAAGTTTTCAATTATACAGTAAATTCATAATTTTCAATTCTTATTTACCCCAATTTCAGCAATACATTGTTCAGCTAATCCTCCAAATAAGTCTTTATTTAAAGCTACTACTTTATCACCTACATTGAAACCAGCTTCTTTTGCCCCTTCGCTAACTTTTAATAATTTTCCAGATATTTCATATCCAGGTACAAAAGGTAAAGCTTGTGTTTTGGAGTACAAGTTCTCACATAACAGTACATCAAGTCCATTTAGGGCACAATAATTAACATCAATTATAACCTGATGGGAAACATTTTTTTTTTTTAATGCAAAATACAATTGTTATTTTAAATCTTGTTAATAATAATGGAAGCATACCTCTGTAGATTTTAATTTCTTTGGTGGGTCAATAGTTTCTATTTGTAATGGTTTTGAAAATTCCTTGAGAACCGCAGCCTTTATTTTATTACCTTCATGTGAGTCACTTTTACTTTTGTCATCTGACATAAATCTAACATTGAACAAACACTTAACAAGCCGTTTATTTTTGTTATTTAACAGGCATGATAACATTTTTTGACTTGACGTAATAGACATTTTTTATTGAAAATAACACTCCTACTTATATTCAAACATTCAATCCGTGCGTGATTAAACTTGACTGCGGCACATTAGCTTTTACCTATCTGTCGTAATCAACATAACCTTACTATAAGAACCAGCAAGTGAAAAATACCTGCATTACCAACGATCTCGTAACTTCTCATCAAATCAGCTGATCCCGGCTTTCTGCTATCAAGCAACAACAATAAACGTCAAAATTCATATTGATAATACTCTGAAGCGTGCAGAAAAATTACACTAGTGCAAAAAAAACTGTCTCAACTACAGTTCAAAATTGTTTTCCGACGAGTACTACTAAATTAAAGCTTTACATAACAAAGTAAGTATATGATTTTAAATTAACTCAGGTTATAATTATCAAAATCATAGATTATTAATAATAAGCATAATCAATGAATTATTTCACTGATGCTTTATTACTTATCTTTATTTTTTACTTTATTTTTTACTTAACTTCACTTATTTTAGTTTTAAAGTTGCATAAATTTTCGAAATTTAAAGTTTTGTGTATTGTAATTTTCATTATTCAGGTTTAACTAAATTAACTTTTTAAATTACAGATGGCTTGGCCTGCACTTGCAATGATGGTCTTACGCAGATATACACCATTTATAACACTACCATTTGCAGCTGTAATTGGATTTATCGGTTATCATGCTGAAGGATGGATATCTGATCGACACACTCCATCAACTGCTCCAATAAATCAACAGCGTCAAGATAGACTCTTACAAGAATCTATGGACTCGAATACGACAAAAGCTAAGCACAATCCCTTGGAGGTAAATTTATCTCCATCACTGTCTCCATCATCATAGAAGTAATTTGAAAGCTTTGTAAATATGTAATATTTGTGATTTTATGAACTTAATAAAATGAATATTGTTAATTTATATACTGAATTATAACTCAATCAACCATTTATTTTCAATTTACATTAATGATTTGTGATGAGATTGTAATTATGTAAAAATATAATTAATGATAATAAGAAAAAGTATAAAAATGCAGCTGATTACATTTATTTATGCACAATGTTACAACAAATGAAGCTTTTGTAGAAATATAGTAAATGTGTATAATATTTTAATATTCCTTACTATTTTAGGCTTGAATACCAAATTTATAAGTTACAACATGATAATAAAGCTCCTGTGGTCTTAAAATGCTGTTGGGAAAATTATCCTGCGAACAGTACAAAAATGAGCCATAAATTAATATTATATCTTCATTTATATAATTCTTTTAAAAAGAAATTTAAATTAATTACATTATTAATTGCATCTGGATAGTTTTGGGTTTCCAAGCAGAAAGCTCCGTGCTTGAAATACTTTTGCCCTTGTTTTCCTGGAATGCCATCGGTTCCTGCTTCAGGCATAAAATTGGAAGTGTAAAATTGTACTCCTGGTTGATTAGTGAAGACCTCCAGAACTCTTCCACTGTCAGGATGAAGAACTCTTGCCGTGAATTTTTCTTTCTCCAAATCTACTTTTCCCGTTAGGCAAAAATTGTAATCGTATCCGCCACCGGGAACTTTATTGATAACGTCCCCAAGAAGCGTCGATTTTCTCAGATCCATTATGCTACCGTCTACGGGCCTAATTTCTCCCGTTGGGATGCTGTTGGCATCAGTCACGGTCCAACGATCTGCTTCGATCATTACTTTATGCTTATAAATTTCTGCAGCGTTGGTACCCTGAGAAATAATAAATATTTCAATTATAATTTCGTTATTGGAAGCATTGGATTAGCGATATTTATAATTCTTGTGAACCAAAAAATGTTATCATTTTTAAACGGTGCGGTATTATAATTACACCGATGAATATTGCATCGACTCTAATATTTTCCACATTTATAATCAATTTTATAAACGACATTATATATAAAATATACGCATTCATATCATTATCATTGACCTCGTCAATCTGGACCCGATAAACTTATTCATAGGAATAATAAAAGATTAGAGTGTTTGTTTTGCGCAGATCGGTTTGTAAGCTGCAAGTATATTCCACTACAGAAGATATCGCGAGTATTCTGATTAATATATCGCAGCTGCTATCAATTATATATTCATAATACATATATGTATATAGTGACGATAAAAAGCCGCGAGTCAGCTCGAACACATTGCCCGCTCACCCCAAGTAAATACTAAAATCGAGTCGGAGCTCGCGCGCGCATTGAAAATCGAGACTCCGACAGTCAGCCCAGCCGGTATATCGATATACTCTGTATCAGGGGGCTTTTGAATTGCGACGCGTCGTGCGGAGCCGGAGCGAGAGAGAAAATATACTCGGGTGTGCTCCGCGGCGATCTGCGGAGTAGCCATATCTAACGAATACTCGTAATGTATATTATGCTGTGCCTGTACACGTACACACGCGGACGCAGTCCGTTGGCTATATAGCGGCGGCAGCGAGCAGGCGCACGTGTATATAAAACCCACCACGGAATACGCGTAATATACAAAAGCGTCTCTCGCTCTCGCTTCGCCTCGCTTTTTCTCGTTCGCTCCTTCTTCTTTCTCTCTTCTCTTTCTTTCTTCGGCTTGCAGGGACTGCTGTATTACACGCATCATACGGCCAACGGAAGTTTCTCATTCTGCGCGAGGCTGTGCGTGTGAACACATCGACGCCCATGACGAGTCGGACGATATTACATTTTCATGACGTATAACCGTTATTGTTTTGTGCCGGGAGTTGTTGTTGTTGTGTGCAGTGTGGTGCTGTTATGGTGAAGTGCACCCGATTTACGCTCGCTACTACTACTACTACTCGTGAGCGCTCCGTGCGATTGTAATTCCAAACGAGGAGCGAAGAAAAATATCCACCAACGACTCGCGTGGCAGGGAAAAGGAGTCGGCGCGGCTTCACCGGTACGCATCGCGCGACGAGGCGCTTTTTAAGGTCGTCGTACCACAAGTTCAAGACCAAATCGACGTGGTAGAAAAAAAAATCCGCGCAACGAAATCGGCTTATATAGTCGAGAGGCAAATAACTCCGGGCTCTATTTTCGTCGGCCGAGTCGCATCTGCTTACGCGTATCATCATGAATAAAACGATCATTAGGCAATTGATCTTGGCGCTCGCCTGGATTCTGTGCGCGTCCGCGCGAAAATGGGACCTCGGCACCGCTCTGACTTACGACGCCAGCACGACCGTTCTGCTGGGGGACAGCTCGATAGCGCGAAACGTCAGCAGCGGCGACGTCGGCTTCCAGCTCACGGCCAAGGTGAAAGTCACCACGCCGTGGAAAGATCGCGCGGACCCCGAAACCATACTGCTGTCCATCAAGCCGATCTCTCTGCAGCTCTGGATAAAGTCGAGGAAAGCTCCGAAGCCCGAGGGTTTCGTCGAGCACAGCTCTCGGCTGACCGAGGTGCCCAAGACTCCGATCTTGTTGCTCATGAAGGGTGGCACGGTCAAGAAGGTGTTCGCCGAATCCACCGAGACGATATCGTCGCTGAATTTGAAAAAGGGCTTGGCGAGTCTCTTTCAGTATCACATGGTCGACGACGAGCTCGATGAGACAGACGCGAGCGGCGCGTGCCGCACGTCCTATCGCATGACGGGCCAAAAGTCCCTGGAGAAAGTGAAGAGGTCCTGCGCGCGAAATAAAAATCGCCACTCCGATCCGATACTCGACGTGAAGCTCGACACTCGGCACGTGACCAGCTACAAATTGACGGACGGCCAGCTGCCGAAGGAAGTGATCGAGACGGAAAAGCACGAGATGAGCTTGGTGGCCAGACCGGAGGCGCGAAATCTGATCAACGTTCATCGAGTGCTGAGCCTGGTTCCCGGCGCGTCCAAGGAGAAGCCCGTCATGGGAGCCAACTACGTCGAGGTGATCAACAAGATTGGCGCCAACTACGTAGAGGTGCCGTTCGAAGCGCAGCACGAGCTGTACTCCGCGGAATCGGGTGGCGACTCGTTGGAGACCGTGCTGGAGAACAGCATGAAAGGTTTGGAAACGCTGGGCACCATCCGATCGGCGACGACTTTCTTGAAACTGCTGCCCATGGTCAGAGACGCGTCGGCCGAGACGCTCGCGAAAATTCTCAAGAGTCCGCGCTATCACGGAATACTGCCCCAGCTGTACGACTTGTACGGCTCCGCGTCGACGCTGGCGTCTCATCGAGCGGCCATGAAAGCGCTCTGGCAAGATAACACCGGCGACGACACCGAGAGATACCTGTGGGCGCTGGCGACTGCACAGCACCCTCATGCCGAGGTGATCAAGGACGTTTTGAAGCGATCCGAAGAGACGCATCCGAACGAAAAGGTCTCGGAAACATTGGCTCTGACGGCCGCGGCCATGGCGAGGCGACACGGAAACCCGAGCGTGATCGAAAAAGTAAAGGACAGTTTGGAGCTCGGACTCGACATTTGCTCGGAAGAGCCGTGCAAAATTAAATTCCTTCGGGCTCTGGGCAATTTGAAAAACAGAGTGGCCGTTCCGATTCTTCTCAAAAATGCAATGAACGGCACGAAAAACTTAGCGATCGTAGCTTGGAAAGCTCTCGGAACTTTATCAAGTGACGTTATAACGCCGGAGATCAAGAGTATCGCCATGAAAACTTTCTTGCAACTCAGAGGACGAAAAGTCGATAGCAGCGTAAGGACACTGGCGATAAACGTCGTTCTCAATAATAAGCCTACCGTCGAGGACATCGAACAATTGCTGATGTACCTCGTCAATCAGGATCCTGTCTTCGAAGTACGTAAATATTTGGTGCAAAGAATCGAGCAATTGTCCGAATCGAGTCCTGCATTCCGCCAAAACTTGCAATTGGCTAAAGAAAGAAATTTGGGAAAATTCGTCAACTACAATACCTTCGCTCAGCGAGGATTGAGCACAGCTTTCACCAGGAGCTTTTTGCGCTCGTCCGGTAGCAATGGTTCGCTCGTGACGATTCAAGAGATCAGTTCTGGACTTTTAAAGCGTGGAGTGGTAGATATCGTTTTGGAGAATGAAAATCACAAATCGACGTTGTTCTCCCTGGGACTCTACGCAGGTGGACTTGGAAGTTTCGTTTCTTCCAACGAACCGGACAGTGTGGAGGTCGATGAAAATGAATCGGCTACCGCGGGCATGGAGCTGTCGTTCCAAGGAGTGGACATTCGACCGTTCGTTTTCTTCTCCGGCCAAGGAGAACTCATGGGACACGTTTGGTCGGGAACTGCCTCGGAACGAACTTCGGCCTTTCAAACTACCGTCAATCTACACAAACATCGCGAAATAATTCCACTGACTTGTGGCTTTGTTGCAGAAATCGATGTCGAGGGAGCGATGAGCGTCGATCTAGCCGGACAGATTCAACTGAGTCTTTGGTCGAGAAATGCACACTCCTTGGTCGAAATGGAGGCCGGTATAGCGATCCAAGGAAACTCAAAAATTACGGCCAATTTCGTGCAGAGCAGAGCGGAATTTTCTCTGACTGCGGAGCCCAAGCTCGTGCTAGCGACCGACGTTGATTTTTCAGGTCCCGTGTCTCTCTGCATGAGATTAGTGCAGCCGGAGACTTACATAAAACAACACATTTACAAAGTGGAAAGAATACCTGGCAGCCGTCACAGATTGAGAAAAACAAGGCGAATCAGATTGTTATCGCCAGCCAAGTCGTATCTTTTGAACAGAAAAAATAACGAGATGTGTTCAAAAGTTTTTGAAGAATGAAAAATTGCTAATTTTATCTAATTAAGTGAATTCATGACACATTAAAATAATCCTTTTTGATTATTTTCAACAATTAAATTTTAATAGACGCGAGCATATGAAAGAACTAATAAGACTGTACACCATTATTGTGATTATAAAATGACCATTACAGATCTTTAATTAATGTACATATTTTTAAATCGAATTTTTCTACTGTTTAATTCTATAATATACTTGAAACTAACATTGAATATTTATAAGCTTATTGATAATTTAATGAATAGTGTAAGATTGGAAATTTATAAAACTGATAAAAGATGATTTATGTTTTATGATCGGAAGTTACGCATGCATGTAAACAAGTTTATATTGTTAATGTTAAGTGGCTTGTTATATGGGTTATGAACAGATTTAAAATTTATAAATTTATCAAATTATAAAGTTAACCAACTCGTATTTTTTCATATATTTATATACATATGATGTACGTAAATTGATAAATCATGCAGATTTCAATTTACCTGCAGCATGTGAATTTGCATCACACCTCGATATATTTACAGTGTTAATTGTTAAACTACTTTTATACAATTTATAAATGGGAACAATTAATCATGTGATATTTCCAGTGATCCCAATAAAATATAGATGATATGTTATGCAATAGAGATTATAATTTATACCATAGAGACTATACTTATTAGTAAAGTGTCATAAAAAATTTCGGCTTAAATGATGCGATATTATTTTATATGTATTGTTGAATCGTTCAATCTATGTAAATCTAATGCAATAAATGCAATAAATGTTTGTAACCAATAACTATTGAACTGCTTTTTATCTAAGATATATCTGAAATTTCACGTTTAACGGGGGAATAAGTAAGTAAATCAAAAAGTACTACATACGTGTCCAGCTAGATTGAAATAACTGTGATTGGTCAAATTAATGGGCGTAGCTTTAGTAGATGTGGCCTTCATTTCAATGGAAAGCCTTCCATCTTCGGTGAGCTTAAATGTGGCAAAAGCAATAACAGCACCTGGAAATCCTTCATCGCCATCCTCGCTCAGAAGGGCCATAACAACTGTGTCATTCTGAACCGAAGCTTCCCAAATTTTTGAATTCCAGCCTTTGAAACCGCCGTGTAAAGTGAATTTATCATCTATGTTTCGTGATACTTGGTACGGCACATTATCGATTGAAAACCGACCTCCGCCAATGCGGTTAGCCACTCGTCCAACGGTAGCTCCAAAGTACGGATTATCCTTCCTTAAATATCCTTCAATCGATATATATACATCGATTATTAATCAATGCAAAGAAATGAAATTCATTAACACGTACAAAATGTTCGGCCCAGAAAAATTGAATCAAATTTTTATAAGTAACTTTTTCATATTGTAACCATACCTTCGATATTATCGAATCCGCACACAACATCTTCCACTTTTCCAGTTTTATCTGGAGTTCTGATTGACGTGATTGTTGCCCCATAAGAAATTACATCAACTTCTTGCTTATTTCCATTTTTCAAAGTAAACTTAGTAACTTGTTTGCCATTTAAAGTACCCCAAGGTTCAACTGAGATACGTTTTTCATTTCCAGAGCTCATGACGATTCTGGTTTAGCAAAAAAATGATTGTGGCATTATTTAATTTGAAAAATTATAAAATTTTTCATTACCTAAATTGATTATTGTATATTTTAATATCTTCTATATATCACTTTAAATTAGTAAATATTTCTCCACAAAAATTATTCACAACCACAGTATAAAGCACACTCTTCATTTAGAAAAAGAAACGGAAGAATTAAAATTTCTCAATACGAAAAGTTGCTTATCTAAATTATTCTGAAGATAAGATGCAAAGCCATGCACTTGAAACTTGGTAAAATATTATATTTTTTGAAGCGAAATTATATTATCAACTTAAGAAAATAATAATAATTCAATTTTTCTTATTATTTGTCAATTTTTTCTTAATTCGATGACAGTAAAAAAAATAGTAATCAAATCACTATCTTACTGAAAATTGATGTTTCTGCTATTTCATGTGAAATCGAACTGAAATATGAGAAGAGATTTTAGAACCTACAAACAAGGCAAAAATATTCAGATTCGTGACACCAATCTAATCAGTTGCTAATGCCACAATCGTTCACATTCATTTTTATTTCTTCGTATCAGCATGTATTCAGAGTTCATATTTACAAAAAGAGTTATAAAACAAGCACCAATTAAAGATGATTCGAATAAAACGATTGGTTGAAGTTTGCCAGTATAAGTCAATGAAGTAAAAATTTTCGCATTCCTTTTAAATTAATTTAATCTATAATAGAAAATTATAATTACTTTTATATGATAATTTGATAAAGTTAGATACGATGAAAAGAGTTTAAATATTATTCAGCATAAAATAATCTATGATTAATATGCATTTTACAATCGATTTGGATGTTTCCAGTAGGTTTTTGTGTTATATTTCATATTTTACGGTAATGCTTTTTTTTTAAAAGCTTCACCTGCTGCCAAAGATTAATCTATTATTAAATGGTAATATTTAATTTAATTAATTTTCAAGTTTAAAACTTATTTGGGATTATTTTTTCAAGTCAGAAAACTACTCAAATACATTCTAAACAAAAGCGACATCTTAACGTGGTTGCCGTAATTAAAAAGAAAATCTGTTACCATCATTATTAAATCAATATCTACCGTACCAACTCTTTCGTTTCAATAAATAACTGCTAATAAATGTTAAATTTTTATGGCTTTGAATGCTTTTTATGTTACTTTGTTAAACGAACAAGGATGACTTCAAACATAATCCAAAAGTATCGTTGTACATTTTTTCATAAAATGAATTATGAACAAAAAACTAAAAACACACCATCTTACCCAGTCAAATATACTAAAATAATCAAAACTGATTTTAAATAAGTCATGCTTTTGATTGAATGGCTAATATTAATTTGTAACTTTCACATGTGACGTCTTACTATTATCGACGAAACTATGAGTATATTTTCATAACATACAGTTTAACCAGATTCGAACTCCACTAACACTAGTGAATGACTGGAATAGCTAGTCTGAAGAAATGATGTATACAGGAGAAACAGGTTTTTATGGCTTTCTAGCGTCTCCTCCATTTTATACGAAATCACAAGATTTCTTGACATCGAAAACAAAATTATCAAGGTTGAAACTTACATGACAAGAAGATGTTTTTTAATAGAATTTGTAAAGTTATAAATTCAAAATATACATCTTCTTATATTGCACAGAGTTCTAATGATGTTAAAGTTTTACTTAGGTTAATTAGTAGCAACAATTTGATTTTTTCTTGAGATATTAAATCCACCTAACTAAAGTCAGTCTGAAGACTAATATTTTTCACTCCTGCAAATATAAATCAAATTTTATATTTATTTCAAGTTCTTTCATCAACAACAAATTAAATTCATTACTGAAATAAAAGTAAATAATGTATCTAAATACAATTTTAATAAATCCCTTTACAAAAATAAGTCATTATTATCCAATATGATAAATTAAACGATTAAACTCAAAATATAAATCTGATTTCTTGTTTATTCATTTAATGGGTTTGATCAATTAAACGAAGTCTCTGTTATTAATGCAGGTGCAATGAATAAAATTTTAATTTAACTGGGACACTTTTTAATCGTCAAAAGTAAAAAAATCCTTGAAAACAATTTTAAATATCACCGGCGAATCGTCTTGAATGTACGATACACAACTGAAATCTCTTATGTACTGATAAGAGACCAAGACTTGTACTTAATCGTTAATAATATTTTATATTATTGCACATTTATAAACGTATCAAGTATAATTCAAGAAAAAAATATTTCTCTTTCATTGTAATATTGAATAATTTATCATTTACCTATTAAGTTTCAAATATTTACATTTTTCCTCGTAACTCAACAAACCCCAATCATTGAAATAAAACACCGCGAAAATATCTCGTGAAAATTAAATCAATTCGATTCTGAAACATACGTTCGAACGTTGTCAAACGATGTCTCCAATTAGACGAAATGAGTTACTGCTTATAGTATATAACTCGACGTACAGAGGTTCGAGCGACCAGTCAATATCGATGTATAATGACTACATCAACATAGGACAAAGTTGTATATATTAAGGAGGCTCTTTGTAACATCAACTGCTGTAGAATATATATTTAGCTCTTATAGTTTTAGTAATTACTATCATAAGTGGTTTCTTTACGAAAATAAATTTGACAACAAGTAAGGTGAATTCACTTTGCAACAATGGACGAATACATAGAAGGAGAAGAACAAATTCCTGCGGAAGAAAGTTTAGATCTGACAAAACTGAATGGAGAAATTAACTGTTTGTTATTTTCACATAATCTGCTAAAACCACAATTCGTAAGTCTATTTACCATACTTTATTAGTTTATAAGTACACTTCGTACTAAAATTTGAAAGTAGCTTTTAGTTTAAATATTAAGAGAGTTTGCTTTAAAAATCGTATAGTGGTAGAAAATGAATATTTACATTCAGACAAAATGAGTCAGAAAACTAAGATTCAGACTTCATCGATTTCAAATTCAATCGTAAGTCCAATGAATAAAAAAATCAGATTATATATTATAGGTTATTTTTGGTCATTGAGTCAAGATCATGGCTTACTGTAACTTAAAATACTAAAAATCGACTAATATGTATATGGGTAAATCCCATTATATTATTGGAATTTGGGTATCAAAACGTCAACATTTATTATTCATTTGCCGTGACATTAACGAAATAATTCAAAAATCATAAAAAATAAACTCCATAAAATAAAATTTAATTTTTCAATCACAATTTTTTTTTGTAAATTTAAAGAATATACAAATTTATTTTTAACATGATTTCTTCGAATTCTTAGAACTATTATAAACAATTAGTTGTATTAAGAAAACGCAGTTTCAAATGTTAATGAGATTGAAAAATCAAAAACAACTTGTTTAATTGGCCATAAATCATACTCATAAATCAAAATTATTTACAAAAAAAAAAAAAAAATAAAGCTAAACTTTTTGTTTCAATTGAGTCAAAAAATTTTAAACTGTTAAAACCCTTTGCTTTAAAAACATAGTTTCGAAACAAAACATACTTATGTCATATTCAAAAATAGCATAAGATAGTCAATGTACTGAAGATTGAATTTTCTGGATTCTATCTGAACCACACTGGTTTCAACAAATATTGACCACATCATCAAAACAAACGTTGCGATTTTCGTTTCAAAAGCTCTAATATAAGGATGCCACGAGTTGCTCCAGAATAAAGAAAGTCAGATGAATATGCAAATGTCTAACAGTTCATGAAACTTTCGAAAAACGTCACGTACACCCAAAATCTTTGAGATCAAAAACTGCAAACAAATGCGCTTCGTGGGCTTGAGTTTTGGGTAAAACTCAAGAATCATTGTTATTGATGTAAAAAAGAGGCGTAATCAGCTTAGTACACTGCTTTTCAGTTCATTATTTTCCGATGATTCATTCAGCAGCATAGCCTTCAGACAGTCTGCCAATACTACGTTGTCTGGATTATCCCCCCTCTCCTCTTTGGGTTTCCCCTCCTTTCACAACGAAAGCGGCTACCGGGGCGTTTTTATAAAAAGCTTCGGTAACGCCAGCGTCAGCCTATTTGTCGTCGAGACCTCGTTTTGATCGCACGGACATTTCTCCGGAATCTTCGCAAGTTTAGCCTGGCAAGTTCGTGCCTAGCAGTTCTACATTGCCCACTCTTGTCACGCACACACATACACAGGAATCTCCCCACCGTCGCTCGATAATATACAATTGCGCTCGCTCGTTATCTCGTGTTATACACGTTAATAATTGATAACAAAAGCGAATAATTCGTCAAGTACACATAACCAACGCTCAGTTAGCAATTGAAGCAGCTACGAGACGATACAACGCGTTCTGTCTTGCGATCAAAACTTTTTACTTGGTGCGCTCAGCTCGTTGTTTGTTCCTGAAGCTACGCGCCCATATGCTATTAGTTTAGCGCAATTAATAAAAAGTTAAAAGCTACACAAGTGTTATAGACAATATTACGTCATCATTTCGTTGTTGCGGAATATCGTACCCGAGACAGCTATTTTGAAGAAAGTGATATTGACCAGAATTTTCCCTACTAACCGTCGTCAATCCACAACTATCAAAATGGGAATCAACAAGGTAAGATTTTTAATAAAATTACCTTCTTATGCTTCGAGACAAAACTTTAAAGGCTTCGATAATTGTCGCTATTGTGTAGTTGCCACTGCTTCGGTACAAGTTAACCTCTACTGCTGGTTAACAGATGTTTCGAATTAAAGCCGAAGCTTTAGATATTCACATGTGCGAGAAAATGATTGATGAGTTAAATTGTATTGTATTCAGCTTACCACATACTTAGCATATTTAATGGTATGCATAAGTAATTAATAATACTTTGTGGTTTACCTCGATCTGCTCTTTTATTGTTAAACCACAAGTGATAATTACAACTTTTTTTGAATTAATTGTGTTGAGAGTCTCGCCGGTAAAGCAGTCGCATATAAATCACACCTAAAAACGAAGCGTCTTGAAATTTTGTCTTCATTTTATTTTGTATAATACAAGCACGTAGACCAGTATAAAATGAAATCTTAAAAATTTCCAATCCAACATTTGTGTGTAAGCTTTCTAAAATTAAAAACTACTTATATCTGTAAATTTAAACGAGTTATTGCTGTACTTGAAATTGAATTTTCGAAAACATACACGTGTCTTGAAAAGTAACTGTTTTTTTGAGTTTCAAGGATAATTTTTATTAAGGATAATTTTTTTGATTGAGAAATTTTATTATTCACCGTTCATCTTAAATGCTGTAATACGTACTCTTATTATAATTCAGAAAATAATGAAATTTTATATTCATGACGTCTGTCACCTGTTTGTCATCTTTATGACGGGATTTTTGCACGTTTGTGCAATTAGTCGATTGAATCATCATATTTTCCATCAAATAACTGCGCATTTCGTTTTCGTACATAAACAAATCATTTCCATTCATGAACGTGATACACCCTTGTTTATGAATGGTTTTCTTTCTTCTTGCGCATTGATTTCGTTCAGGAGTATTGAATGTTCTTGGGGAGAAATTTGTTTACATTATTTTGTCAATCGATAAGATGAACGTTCGAAGAAATTATTCATGCTATGACAAATCATTTTTACCATGCAACGTGCAACATTTAAAAATAAAAGATTCGATCTAATTTAATTTCGTTATCAATTATCAAAAAATGTCGACGAGCCTTGGCGAAAGAAATTATATTATTAGAATTTAAATAATTAATCGAATTCAAAGATCAACGTTTTGTGATTAAATTACCAGGCGAGACGATAGGATGTGTAACTCAATCTTTAATGAGCTAATGCGATTCAGTGCAATTGGCTCGCCGCATCTCATATTTTAAAATTGCTCGTTATTGTACACCTCGCGATACGTAATACCGGTTCATCGTATTGCTTTCCTGAGAAAAGAATGTTATCCACATTGTATATGGATATATTGATAACTATTATACTTGAAAAATGTCTCATAGCTGATAAGTTGAGTTGTTTGACAAATCATCAAGGTTTATCATGCCAACAACAATAATAATAGCAATATAAATTGTTTAAAAGAAATGCAGACTTAAAATTGCTGAATAGAGAAGAAAATGATAACTATGTTTTGCTTGGAGATCAGTTTTTTACTCTCGTACGATAAAATGATTCCTTCTTTCTCACGTGTATTTAGCGCGCATTCCAATCTTTATTATCCTAATGTTTATACAAATCGTTAGCATTCAAAATTTTAATCATAGTAGATCAGAGCGGCTTAATTTCGCGATTACTTCAGTAATTCCTTATAATTACTTAATTGTTTGATGAATTTTATGAAAAAATTAAATGAAAAAAAATAGTACTTTTATCTGAATTACTTGGAGGAAAATAGGAAAATTGTCGCATACATTGAAGCAGCCGTGCACGAGGCACGAGTTGTTTTTGACACGATAATGCTAGGTGTAAAGACTAATAGGAGGTGGACTGTTTTTATTTAAAACATTTAATCGAAGTTATTCGCCAGACGTCTGAGACAGTACGTCACGTACACTACGTTGACAATAAGACACGTAAACAAGACGACGACGACGTCAACGCGCTCGAGCCACTTTTAGTCGAAAAAGCAACACTTGCTTCTCGAAGCACGGATGCACTCACGCGCTCGCTCGTATTTACGCGCAAACGTGTGTTTGTATGCGTCCTGTTGTCCGAAAGTTTTAAGAACATTTTACGCAAATATACAGTCATGAGGAATCGAAAGGGAGAGAGAGAGAGAGAGTCAAAAGCCGACGAGTCGTTGCGAGCTCTACTCAACTGCGCTTCGAGTTGCGCAACTCTATTTTTAGCCACAAGAAATTCAAGACGAAGCAAAAAGACTCTCGAATCTTTGCCTGCGGACCAGTTTCCCGAGTCGAGGAATGCGTTCAGGCTAATAATGCTTGTAACGCCGAGCTCTTTGTAATTTTGCGGTTTTTTACAGCAATTTTTTTATCTGTCGTAGTGTTAAAAAAAAAAATTATACGTTCTTCGAGTAATTTTCGTTACGCTACACTGAACAAAGGTTTCTTACTTTACCATTCTGACGTGCTGCGAAAAAATCGAGGTCGATTATATTTCAACTCGACTGAACACCTACCTCTAATGTAAATATCGTTTGTGTTGTAAAAAAACGTCCTATTAATAATGGGACTTTAAATATCTGAAACAAAGGAGCCACGTGTTTGAACTTTGATCGTGAAGAAAAAATGAACCGCTTGCGATCAAAGCTCATCCTGATCAATAATTACTGTTTGGGCAGAATTCTGAAAAACCACAGTAGACGTCATGCGTGCTTATTGAAGGTGTGAAATCACAACAAATTGTATTATTATCGATCCGATCGACGCGATAAGCTACTTCCTCTACGTAATACCACTTATAACTCATGGAATCGATTTTTAAATTTATGAAAGGCTTGTCGATTCTTCGCGACTGACGTCTTGTATTCGGTAAAATAAAACCATTACTGCTTATGACGCATCATTACAGCTGAGTATACAGTTCACGAAGATAGCTTTTGTGCAGAATTTTGTTGGGTTCATCAGACTGATTATTTGAATTTTCGCTTGACTTGATTTTGTCACAAAAGAAACGTGGACATTCTTACCTCACGCAAACGCGTCATGATAATAATCACCCACTTTCGGCATTCGTGTTTAAATAAGAGAATAAAGATATACGATATGATTTACCGGTTTTAGATTTTATCCATTATTATTACAGTAATTCTTTCTGCACGAGTACAACTAGTACGAATTAACGAAATGAGTCTTTTTCAATTTGTAAGTAAGTCGTTAGGAATTTATCACCTTATCGAAGCTTGAACAGACCAAGTATCTGATTAATAGATAACAATTACACCTAAAGCCAATATACGTTTGTAAAACGCAATTCGTTTCAATGCATTTAAAAAAATTAATGCTACTTATAATTCTTTTTGAAATTTATTTGGCACATGACTTATACTAACTAAGCCTACTAAGCATACCAAATTTTCCTCAAAATCATCCAACCATAAAAAAAAATCAGAAAAGTTCTAATTAATAATTGCCTTTATCTTTTGGCGAAATTAAAAAAAAGTATTCATAATTTATTAACAAACGATAACTTGTAAAATGCAGTTGGGTTTTCTTCAGACCAATTAATCTCAAGTTTTTTCTGAAATTTTACCGGCTCGATACGAATGCATATACGTAGTCCGGCACATTTCGTTTGAAATTCGCCGATCAGAGCTGAAACTACCAATTGCAAAACGTCAGAAGCTCGAGCAGTTTTGCGCAAGCGTGTCCACCCACCCACACTCGTCCGACACCAGTCACACATACTTGCAAGCTTGAGTGTGTGAAAAGCTCGACCAATCGCAGCACTCGAAACGTGACTTGGAAACATTTTTTAAACGAGGAAAATATGCGCTATTGATCGGCCCGAGCGTCGCTTGCGTGCCGATATGCGCAAACTCCGCTTCCACCTATACCCATCCGCTCCGTCGCGAAGCTCTTACGTCAGTTGACCTAGGTTCTATGTACTAAAATGTACTCAGTTATCAGCGCGAGCACATGAGACCGTTACTTTGCCCAAAACTGGTATTGTTTATTTGTCTTGTTATAATCCATTTTTGTTAAATTTAACAATCGAAAAACGTGCAGAATTCAAGCCTTTATTGCAATTATCATCAAAAGTGATCGTTACAAGAAAAACATAATATTTTTCATTCGTGAAAAGATAAATATTCTTTATTTTTTATACCAATATTGTTCGAATATACAATTAACATTATTTATGCCGTCTCACGTTATTATTATCATATTTTTCTTTTTTCATCTGCTTCTCGGATAAAAAATAATAATAAAGTGTTGATCGGAAAACCCAGCGAGCCGTATGCTCGAGAGGTCTTGTTTAATTTTGAACTCAACAAAAACAATTGGTGGCTGATTCCGTTGCTGTCATTACAATTTGTTTACTCGACTCGTTGAATAATGTTCCTTCCACCTGTTAAAACGATAATTCATTATGTGTCGCAATAGTTGCTACCTATATCAGATACGCGTGCTGCACTTGACCTTAGTTTTCAACATACTACTATAGTGGATCGATAAGTACGTTGGCACTGTCCCAGAAAATATATGTTTCATAGCGTTATAAAAAACAACACAGATTGCTATCACGCGAGATTTGAGTCTTTTATACATTATAAGTTGTAAAACGCTTTAAAAGTCGCCTGACGTGGATCGATAAGTTTCAATATATAGAGCAAATGTTAATTTGATACACGAGCTTTGCGAGTCCGATTGTAATAAAAGCTCTCTTAAGGAGATGTTTGAAACTATTGTGCATGTTCATTTGAAACCACTATTGATTAAATAACGATTCATAAATTCCTCCAAGTATCAACAATTTCGATGAATTCAATAATAACTGATGTTTTATTTTTTCATTGTTTCAGATGTCTGAGTACCACCCAGAAATGAAAGCCACTGCTGCGCGCATCTGTCGTGACTACTTGCGAGGCGTGTGGAAGCACGTTACTCCAGATAATATCATCTTGAAACGAATCAGGTAAGTTAAATTATAATCGAATTCAAGTATTATATTTTTTAATTTTCCTATGAGCCATTCTAAATTATCACCGGATTAATTGGAGTCATTTGATCGTTGGATCGTTGGTTTAAAATTGATTTAAAATGTCTTTATAATTAATTGGGCTGCTCGATTTCAATCTGCATTTTACAGAATTGTAATTATTTTCACATTATTCGGAATAAGAGCAATTAAAATTACGCGCATAAGAAAAGTTATTACAATTATTTTTCGAGTATTTGTTTGACCGTACCCTCGCGGATAATCAACAGTTTATCGTTCTTTTATCTGTAATGATCGGCTTTATTTGCTGCGCAGATAATGATCTGCAACGTGCGTGAGTGCAAAAATTGATCCAACATGCGATATCTGAAAAAAATTGTCTCGCGCGAAGAAAAGAAAAATCGACCGAGTCACGTTAGCAAATGATGAATTTTTTCTTTCTGCCTTTCAGCGGTGGGTTGAGCAATTGGCTTTACAGTGTCCACTTGCCAGATGAAGCCATACCGGTGCGCGGCGAGCCTAGACAGGTTCTCCTAAGACTGTACGGCCAGGTTCATGGCGAACGTGCCCTCGAGGGCCTGATCACCGAATCCGTCATATTCACACTTCTTTCAGAGAGGCGGCTCGGCCCGAAACTTCATGGTATCTTTCCAGGTGGAAGAATCGAGGAGTACATTCCGGCCCGACCTCTGCTCACCAAAGAGTTGGCCGATCACCATCTCAGTTCTCTGATCGCTGAAAAAATGGCACAGATACACATGATGCAGGTGCCCATCAGCAAGGAACCCACGTGGCTTTGGGATACGATGGACAGGTGGCTCGACACGGCCACCGATGTGTTGGAAAATATCGAAGAGGTCGAAACTAAACAGCTTGCCAACTTCGAATTTATCAAGTCCATCGATTTGGAGCAAGAAGTCACTTGGTTCCGGTGAGTTGAGATATCATTATTTTTTTTAGGCAACCCGAAGCAGCAAATGCATGATACTTATCTGTTCCCGGATTCCAATTGCCTTTTTTTATCTTCAACCGGGGAGTTTATTGACTGGGCTAATCAAAGTAATGAGCTGATTAAAGCGAATTTTCGCATGACTGAATAATTGGGAAAACCGTTTTTTTCTAAGTTTACACATTTGACTCTTGGAGATTATTTACATAATGAATTAAAAATTAATAAATCAGCTACGTTAGTATATTACATCTATTGACCCAATAATCTTCATGGTTTGTTAGATCTCATTAAAATTGTTTCAAACATAATTACACAATTGTACAGTTCCAAGTATTTTCTGCTTCATGGGGTTTTATGATAATATATTGGATCGGTGTTTTAATCAATTTTTATTATAATCAAATAGGTCCTTGGCGAAACAATACAAATTCCCGGTTGTTTTCTGCCACAACGACATGCAGGAGGGCAACATTTTACTTCGTCAAAATTCGCCAAAGCAAGAACTGGTTGTGATCGATTTTGAGTATTGTTCTTACAACTACCGAGGCTTCGACGTAGCCAATCATTTCCAGGAATGGCTCTACGACTACACAGCCAAAGACTATCCATTCTTTACCGAGCGTACGTCGTGCGGACCAACGAAAGAACAAAAGGTAAGACGCGCCTTGGGGGCCGGGGGGAGTTGAAATTCATTGAGTCACATGGGTAAGAAGTTCAAATTCAAGCATTTATTTATATCTCTCTGCCATTGTCAACGTTTTCACGTTTACCTTTTTTATTATTGAAAGTAGCTTCTTGCATAAAAACAAAAATTTTAATAGTCGATGAAATGTCGATAGAGTCTTACTTTTCATTCATTTTGAAGTCGTATCTTAAATTACAAAAATTTTGAGAAATAAAGAATCGTTAAACTTAATATGTGATAATTAACTCAATATTTGAAGAAAAAGTAATAGTTATGGCTTTTGATAATTTTGAAACTGAAAATCACATATTAAGTTTGTGTCATGGAAGGTCATACATTGTGCATTAATCCATAAATCACTGCATTACAAATGTCTATGAACTGTTTTAAATAGAAAAAAATTATTTTTACATCAAAGATCAAAATTTCTTCAATTTATTTGAGTCAAAGAGGAGATGTTAGTCTTGCAAATTGGCTTTGAAAGTAAGAAGAGATCTTCAACTGCTTTTATTCATTGACATTACTCAGCAATAAAATCTCATAGCACGTTAGCAACATCAACATCTTCGAGCAAGACTCTTGATGTGAATTTATAAAAAATCAATTGATTCGCAATGTATGACCGCATTTTAAGGTATTCGTTTTGTGGAAGAAAATTGTTTTGTCAATTTTTGTTTATTCATTTCGAATCAAGAAAATTGAAAATCATTTGCATTTTATCACAGCATCTTTAAAAATGATAAAAAGTGAGTATTGTTGGCACGAGCAATATTTTGAAATTGCGCAAGTAGCTGGCTTTACAATAAATTGAAAAAAATTTTTTTCATTTTAATTACAACGTCAATTCGAAATTGTGTAAAATTTACGCAGTTTTTTGAACGCAGCTAAACTTCTAGCTGCTGTACCTATAGTTTATTAAAAATAAAAATTAGAGAACCGCGGGTTCATAGCGTCTCTCGTAGTTCGCCTTTTGTTGGCTACTTGAACGCGTGACTCGTTGCCTTTATGTTTATTGACATAAACTTTAAAAGACACTGAATCAACCAAAACTGAAATACCTAGATGAGACTTAAAAAAAGAAAAAGAAAAAATAAGTTTTCGAAAGTTAGGTATTTTTTCGAAAGATTATGTTTTTCGAAAATATAAAAACGAGATCAGGAGTTAGGGCACCTTGGCGTGTGTTGCGTGTGTATGTATTAGTTTCACAGGACCTCAAATCGTGACTGAGAGAGGCTCGCATGGCTCTATTCTATCATGTTGACTGCGCATTGGGTGCCTCCACAATAAAAACTGGGGACCCTCTCGCAATCAGGATAAGGCCTTGAAGGAAGATTCAGATGCCATCAACGAGAGACAGAGAGGTTCAAGAAATCCAATCAACGGCGACTTAAGGTGCCCCAGACTCGAGGAGTAAGGGGTGCCTTCTGTCAACCCGAGAGGTCACGCCCACAGAGCTCGTGGTCCAGCCAGCCACCCATCAATCTCGCCTCAGCAGCATTTAATAGAGTACCTCAACCACGCACTCTCAATAGTCGAACTATAACCACGTTCACATTCTTACAAATAAGTCAAATGCGTGATTTTTTTTATTTATTTTTTTTTTATTTTTTTTTAATTTTTATATTTATACCAATCATAAATTACAAAATTGTGCTAGGACCTTATAATCGTGAATTTTCCGTACATGTTCTTATAACTGCTATTAATATCACATAATAAATATTTTATTGGTATCGCTAATAAAATTAAACCCATCCAGGTTCCTAAAATTTTCCTAATTAATCCTGTATGGTTTAATAAAATTTTACAATCCCATTATTACATATCCTACACATGAAAATAAATAAGCTCATTTAATGAGTCATTAATACATTTTTTACTTTACCTACCTATAAATTTTATGTCCACATTAAAATTTTTTTTATAATTTGTATTGCAATTGAAAAAAAACTATAATTTAGTAGATGCACAGCATTTATGAGAACATGAATCGAATTTCTTTACTGCCTATGACGTTTAAAATGCTCTTCCCTTGGCCACTTGTCACTAAAAAAAAATGCCGAAGATCAAACAGATATTGTTTTCGGTACTGCCACATTTTAATTGAGCACCGAGTGGTATGAACATTCATTTGCAATAAAAAATATGAAGATCTGTGTCAGCGATATGTAGATATCTGAATTTAAAAAATACCAAGTAATTTTTTCGTTACTTTCATTTCGTTCATTTTTTTTAAATAATAAAGTTTCTTTATACGATCACGCGATTTAAGCTCACTGGAAAAAATACACTGCTCGTTTCAAAATGATAAATGTCTGTCTCATCCTGAGATAAGAAAGAAAGTATCAAATTTGTTCAGTATATCTGCTTTGTCGCTGACTGAGATTTTTTTACGTCGTGTCAATACCATACATTGAATTTTTCGCTCATAACTTGAACAAAAATTTAAGGATACTTAAATAATCTTTGCTCTACCTAATTTTTGAGCGAAACTAATCTTATAATTTTTATCAATATCATTTGATTTTATAATCCTGTCATCTTAAAATGATTCATCATTATGAGACCAATTTCATCTTGTTTTTAAAAACTTATATTATTTGATTCTATTCAACTAAAATTTAAGTGAAGTTTCGATTATTCGTCATAATTAATTTTTTTAATTTTTATTCACATTCATTATTTCTTTTACCATAAAAAAATTTCAAAAAATTCATCAGCAATAACGTATTCAACCACAATTAATAAAAACTATTTGAATGATTTCATTTCATATCATGTATCATCGCTTCTAATCGAATCAAATAAAAAATAATATTTTCATTCGGCCTTTTAAAATTTTAATTTGCAAAAATTATTATTTTAACATTATTAATTTTCCGAAATAATCCAGAGAATATAAGAATGGGCCAGGATCTTTGATCAATTGGTTCTGGGATTTTTATCTAGACTTTTTAAACTATTTGATTAATTGAGACTGTACTCGGACTATCTATTTCATTTTCTATACAAATTAATGATTGCACCAAGTATATATGCCTTTATGATTAACAGTTGGTTATTTCTTTAGTGAAAAATTTCAACTGCTTTTGTATAATCATTGTTAATGCCAATATTATGATTAACTCATATATTTTTAAAAATTGTTTTCCAAGAGATTCGCTCTTATAACCTAAAACGTTCTATTTATAACTTTCTGTCACAAATTCATTCGCGTTTGTAAATTATTAGATTTAACAAATAAAACCTACGTTTCCTCACACGAGCAGTTATGAGAGCTGATTTAGCTTAAAACTTAAAAAAAAAGTCTCTCCTGAGCTGTTAATTACGAAACCATTTTGGTGAACAAATGAAATATATTGCAAAACAAAAAAATTAAAACTTATAAATTCAACCGGTGATTTGTAGTAGTATTATAATTACTTTCCATTGTTTCGAACTCTTTGCTTATAGAAAATTTTCTTTTGACAGTACAATTTCATTCGTAACTACTTGAGGGTGGCCGGAAAAGAAGGTCAAGCCGAGGAAGAACGTATGATGGCAGAGATTCGTATCTTCTCGTTAGCCAGCAACTTGTTCTGGGGTCTGTGGAGCATCGTGAACGCCAAATTGTCTCAAATTCCATTCGGCTATTGGGTAAGCGAATACTAATTTCGTATTCAAAAATCCGTACATTTGATCAAACTTGACTAACGAGTTCTTTTTTTCTTCGCAAACAGGATTACGCAGTAGTTAGGCTAAGACGATACCAGTACTTAAAAGAAAAACTGCTTAAAACTGGACCACTATATCCAGATGGAGGGTTAAAAAGAAAGGTGACACACCTGGATTGAATAGGATTGCGGTTACCAAGTAATTACAATCCTATTCAAGAATATTTGGAAAGACTTGTTTTCGCCACGCGCCCTTGTCATAGCTTATGACGAAAACCTTTTGGTATCGAGTGCAGCCAAGAGGCCCCCATCCCAATCAACGACGACGACGGCAAACGTGACTCAGCGATTGGTCATCGTAACCAAAGGTCTCCGGCTGTACTACGCGATACGCATTTAGGTTCTCGTCGTTACTACGCTGGACGCGCCCCGTTTATGGATTATCCGATGTTTCAATACAAACTGACGAGCAGTTGGTACTGCATCGAACGAGCAGCAGGAATCCAGGAGCTTTGAACAGACACATACATACTCGCGAAAAGTTCCTAATTCGCGCGGCTCACCTCTTGGTCCATGAACATTTTATCGAAGATCTTTCAGATTGAGCGAAAACACGTAGAAACGATTGCGTTGTGATATAGATCGTAAGTTTTGTATATCGGTGGTGTGCACATCGGCTGCACACTGGTGCTCAATAATGACCCGCTGTGTGCTCTCTAAGAGCGACGCGACGTCATTACGCACATCGAATCAGTATAATGTGTACAAGAATTTCGGTTATCTTGGATTATCATTATCAAACAATAATTCCAAATTCATTGGTCGGATTGATTAATCGTCAATTTCTTGAGTAATGTTGTCATCTTAGCTATTTTTACTTCTGAATTTTTAAGTATTCTTCGACACCCATGATTAGACTTATGTCGCATGACCATTATCTATTTTTTATTTTTCTGTACCTACAAGCACTTTGAAGGAATAATCAGGTATGAAACCGCAAGGAGGACTCTCCGAGTTCGTTCAACTAGTCTGAAAATTTCGTTTCTAATTACTTAAAGTCGGTATTGGCTCAGGTTCCTTCATTGTGATAGTTAACTGCGTAGTTTTTTAAGAAATCTGTCGAGTCATCAGCCAATAAAGAAACAAATTAAAAAGAGAATCAAAATCTATTATGGATCTCTAGTAACTTCACAATAATATAAGATCAAACATTTTGAAACTACTTTCAATAGAACTACTTTTAATGTTTCTATCCAATTATCACCATTTAAGTACCTGCATGATCTATTGATGCCTTCAATGAATGAAAGTACTGATTAAATGGACGATACTTGTGAAATATCATACTTAAAATCTGCGTAATGTGCTTAAAAATTATTATCATTTGCTTAATTTAGTAAATTAGATGATACATTTTCTAAAGTATAATTGACTTTTGTCACTGGGCAAAAAATTTAAGAAGAAAAAAAAACAAAATAATTTGCAATTCAATTTAATAAGTGGTTAAATTGTAAAGTTTACACTTAAAGTCTGACAAAAGAATGATAGAATGAAATAGAGTATAAAGAATTGTAATTGCTCAAAAAAAATTTAATGTAGCCTTCCTACCTAAGAATATTTTCGTAATATTAAATAAGTGAATGAGAATCTTATGTTGATGTTTTCATTAGCGATCTCTTTTGCTAAAATACGTTTGGTCGGCCGTTTTATTAATTGTGATACGTTGCTGTATACAGGAAATTATTTATTTAGAAGTATAGTATTCAAAAAAATAATCCTTGTACGTGCGATGGGATTTCGTCTGTTGTATTCGTGAATTGTTTCGGTAAATCGTTTCAGTATTGTTGCCCGAAAAAACGCACGCATAAATTTTTATGCAGTCAATAATGAATTATGAATTTATATAGTTTTGTACGGAAAACCTTATAAAGTCATGGTTATGATGCGAAGGTTTGCGGTGTCATTGAAAACTAGAATATTTTTAAAATTTATAGATTTATTTTAATGAAAAAGAGAGCTTTATTTTAAAATCCATCAGATTAATCGTTACGAAATCTACATGCAATAATCATATGTACCTATTGCTGACAATATAATTATGATATTCGAATATAAAATGTAATATTTATTTTATTTAGTAAGTAACATATATTACTCTAGCAGGGTATACTTAGTACTTGTATTAACTAAATACTTAGCACATTGTTTTGTATTGCCATTAGTTTGATAAGTTCGAATGATTTTTCAATAAAAATTTATTACAAGTTAATATTCCAAATTGTTCCATTTATTATTATTCTGAAAAATATCCTTCTTTTTGAATAAAATTATATGAACAGTGAGCTTTTAAATGAACATATTTTCATTCGCACAACTAACGCTGACTATAATTTTTTCATAAGTCGAAGAAATAATTTCTATTAATATTCAAACCGTCGTTTGACAAGTGCGCTGCTGATCTTTTTCTTGAAGTTCTTAAAGTATCTAGAAAATTTTGAAGTTGCATAAAATCTTTGATTATAGAATTGGAGTGCATCGTGGTAAAACAACGATAAAACCAGATTTAAATAAATCTAAAACAGCGCGAGCTCATCAAAAAATGTCGTCTACAGCTAAAACTACACATCGTACTCGCTCACTAATGATTGACAGCAACTCATCGAGATTTCCCTCGTAATTATATTTTCACACTCACGCACTCGAGATTTCTCGCCACGAGGGAGAACACATAGATTTTCCCCGTATGGATCGCGTGTGCGTGCATACATTGTACTATATACGTGCCATATATACATATATCGTATACACATGCTATACGCTGCAAGTGCACGCGATAGCCCTGCCGCATGCGCGCGTCAATGCATGAGATTCGCGGCGAACGACGACGACGGAAAGAGTATCCGAGAGCGCACGTTTCCCGAGACTCTGCTGCAGTCGCGCTCGGTTCGCCAAACTATCCGGCTCGTTTCGTCTCGCTGGCGCGCGCGCGGCGCTCTTCGCGCGTCTTTCGAAGCCGAGAATTTGGACGAAGACGATCTGTATCCTCTTTTTCGTCGCCAGAATGTCTTTGCACGAGCGATAATTTTAACGATGAAAGTATACCACACAGTGATCGTTTTCAAGTATGAGTTTTACCACGATCGTTGAATCAAATTGTCAAAATTCGAATAAAACCCTTCGATTCGGTTTTGAAACTCAAAGGAAAAAAGGCCACAAAATTCCAGCTACAGTGTACAAATGAACGCGTCGTAAAACACCATGAAACTTTGGACGTTGAAGTTGTAAAAAAAACCAGTGCTTTTGACGAATAAGTGGATAAAGACTCGGCTCGCAGGGAGACGCTGGAAAAAGTATAACGCCGCTGCTGCTGGCCTGCCACAGCCATAATAAGTAAAATAATAGTAAAACACGTGCGCGCACGAGCGGGCCGCGCTCGCCTCCTACACGTACCCATAAGATTCGCTTCTCGGTCAAACGCTCGGAGACCGAGAGAGAGAGAGCTTTTATGTCGCGAAACGCCGGCTGCTGACGACTTCCACCGTAGATGCCTGCATATATGCATATATACAGAGAGGCCTGGCACAGCACATATACCACGGACGATCGATTCCTCGCGGCCTGTAACGACTGTACGTGAGAGCTTCCGGCGATTATCCACAGACACACACACATAAACTGGTGCACGTGCAGCAGACACGCACATGCTTATACGGCGGACTGCAGCAGTAGCAGCGCGCGTGCAACGCACAAAGAGATTGAGAACAGCGCTTTTACGAGCCGCAAGCCCAAGATATATAGGTATATCAACTTGCCGGTAAGTGCAATCGTGATTTTACGTATGATACTTTAACGGGAAATCGATAAAACTGATCCAATTGGATGATGCACGCAACTGTATATTAAGAGAAGGCGAATATTTCCGTTCCGCTACGTGCCGATATACGTATGAGCTACTGTGCACAAAACTCGAATGAATTCGAGAGTTGGAATCATTTTTAGGTAGCGCCGATCAATCGACTCGATCGAGTTCAGTGACGCGCAACTATACTCGAGCTCGAGCGAGCCGTCAGTTTACCTCTAGTAGTCTCTCGTGCTTTATTCACGGTCCGCGCGCATAAAATATGATACATTGCCCCGCGCGCGTGTCGAAACGAGCACCGCCCCCGTGCAGTCGAGAGACAGAAAGCGAGACACGGAACAACTCGCGTAATTCAGATTCGAAATTTACCTAGCCAGCGCTCGATCGCGCGACGCGATGAATTAAATGGCTTGTAATTCGAACGTCGAATTTATAATGAGTTTCAGCGCTTGCATTTATAAAATATAAATCACGAGCGCGAGGGGATGCAGCAGTCCGCAACGCAGCTTTACGTAAATTAAAGCGCGAGAAATATTACGCGGCTCTTATTTATGGAGATGTAGCCAGGGAAATCGAGGCTTTGTGCTTATGATAATGTTTCCAATGAACCGCACAATCGTCGTCGTCGTCGTCGTCGTCGTCGCCACCACCGAGCGTTCGCGAATGTGCGGGCAATAAAGTGTTATATGGAGTATTGAATGGGAACTAACGAGCATATATAGAGCTCGGGATAACGCGCTATACGCTCGACGTTATATATGCCATTCACTCGTACACGCTCGTATATTAGCTTATTTGATAAAGGACGTGCTTCGTTTCAATGTATGACGGCGATGTTCCGCGCTAGCTGGAAATTCGAGGCTCTATGATTTGACCGAAGTGCGCTTGAGACCGTTATTTAACTAATATAACGAGGCTGGACATTTTAGAATATAGACAAATAAAGAGCATCGATTCGATCAAGAGACGCGTGCTTTTTTTGCCTTGCAAATCCTCCACGCGAGACCAGCACTTTGGTGCCACGCGTGTAATTTCAGGGAATTATACTAATCAAGTGCTTTTTCAACAAACGAGCGGATAAATCAATATTGTTTTTTGGCGTGAGAATTTTACAGTCTTCTCGAGTTCCGAAACGAGAGCGAAAATGGATCTCCCATTGATATTGAGCATAAAATTGGCACACAAACAGCAGACCACGAGCTAAATATAATGTCTTATTTAGATCGATTAGTCGATCCGTCTTGACAATATTAATGAAGAATTCGATCGATAATCGTACACACGCGTGGTGGTGGTTTTTTTCTCTCTCTTTTCCATATTAATAATTCGTTTCTCTGCCATGGATATATGGACGTGTACAACTGCTGCGCTCAATATTATACCGCTACTAGCACCGCTGGCACACACACACACTGCAGTGGCACAGCTGACGAGTAAAGTAACGTCCTCGTTTATCACGATTGAAACGAGAGCGTATACTGCAGCAGCAGCAACACGGAGGCATGGAAGCACGAGGGAAAAAGTTCCACTTACATACATACATACATACGTACATAGACACTCATGGCAGCTCCTAGTCACTGCGCGAGCAATGGCAATCGAGTGTTAATCTACAACGCTTGCGGTATAAATTGTCATTAGTGCACGAGTGTCAATAATTACACATACACGGGTGGATCGAAGATTCCATGTTCGCATCGATCCTGATCGATCACGCCTTGCATTTTCTTCCTTCCTTTCCAACCTGTTTCTCATTTTTCTTTTGGATAGTTTGAAGAGAAAAAAATATTATTAAGATTGATATTATAAGTCGACTTCGATAACTGCAATTGAGAACATTTATCGCGTGTGTAAGCTAGAGAGGAATTACATTAACATTCGGCTATGTATGAGAAGCCTAGAGTGTACGTCTGGCCAAATCAACGTGTTAACTACTTGGTGACGATGAATTCGGTTGCAGCCGCAGCGTACTAAAGCCCCTTGGGACTCCGATAACTGCCTCGTCGAGTGAGTCCGTTATATATAGTGCTGGTACACAGTCGCGCGTGGTGTAGGCGGGTGTAGGTGTGTTGCCGCCGCCACATCGTCGTCGTCGTCGTCGTCGCGAGCCGAAGCCCTCGGCGCAATTCATTTAACCGCAATATATATACCATATTTATGTTTGGCCCAAAGCGAGTACAACTTAATCTCCGAGTTCAGCGTGTCACCGAACTCGCGCCCGCGCGCGCGAGAGCGAGTTATAAACAGTTCTTAAATTATTCATCGTGGTTCCCTCGCGTTATTATGCAGATCGTTAGCCGCGGATAATACGATTATAATTCCGTACGAACGACGAGATACAAATTAATAGGGCCGTGGGCGCAGATCCAATCGAAGCATATTCGTTGCTTCGTTACGGCTGAAGTTGCAATTTCAACGCGCGGCCGGGGTGTAACATCGGCAAAATACGATCGCAACGCGCGCACAGTAATGAATCATCCGAAATCGAAGGTGTGGGAAGGGGTTCGGATTATGACCACTGTTATGCAGGAGCCGCGGCGGCAAGGGGGGGGGCTCAATTATACCGCGCTTCTGCAATGCCTTGGCCATATCCAACGAAGATACGCCGCGGCCTGCATTATATGCAATCTTGCGTACCTCGTAAATCCTCCGTCGCATTCCAGGACTATAGGTTTGAATTATCGCTGCTGCTGCTTCTCTCTGAAATTAAGCTCCTATCGTTCAGCGCTGTAGCCGTACGCCAAGCGGGTAAAAGTAGCTATCGCACCATGTAAAGCCCGTAACAAGATCATTTTTAGCTCGATATACTGCAGGCACGAAGCAGCAGCAGCAGCACTATATAGCGCGTTTGTGTAATACAAACTAACTTTGTAAGGGATACACCGAGTGTTGCGGTTATTGCGCTCATCGGCCAATATAATAATAATAACAATACCTACCTAAACGTAACTTTTTGCTCTTTTTCACTTTCTCTCTCTTTCGCTCGTCGCACGATAAAGGATAGGTGTTGAAAGTAAGGAGGTTAAGCAAGCAATCCTATAATGGACCTAAGAACGCCTGGCAGTTTTATACATGCATAGCGAGGTGGTGAAAAAAGTGTGAGGAACTTGTGTTACTACTCTCGGGCTGGCGCGAGCTATTTTATATTCGAGTTTTGCGTCTTCCAGCCCCACACCTATACGTATATATCTGTGTGCTGCACATATCTTTGCTGTTTTTTTACGCGAGCTTATGTATATGCAGATTTTTTCCCTGCCACCAAGGCGCAGATATGATAAAAAAAAATCGTATGCGCGAAAAAAATGTAAATACAAAGAAGATTTCATACAACACGTGTGTGATTTTTTACATGGCTTGCGAGCCCGCGACAAGATGTGTGCTCGAGGTATACGCAGTGGGACACATAAAAAGCATCTTTGATAAAAAAATTTTATTATTCGCTACTTCTATTTTCCGCCGTATAGTCCATTGTTGCGATTTTGCTCGTATAGCACTTGCCCTGTATGCATCGAGAGCAAAGTACACGGCGTGTTTCCGTGTTATTTTGAATATTGTACAATATAAGATTGGAACATTTTGATGGATTGACCGTGAACTAATTCGCACGATAATTTTCTTATTTTCAGATCGAGACAATAAACCGTGTGTGAATAAAGGGTGAATCATGGAGACCCTGTACACGGGTGCGGTGCACGGCTTCCCGCCGTCGTCGCACGGCATGCCTAACGGTCTGGCCGCGCCGTTCGATCAAGATGGCGTGCTGAGCCTGGTCGTCGTGCTCGGCGGCAGTCTGTCCCTCGTCGCTCTCATCTTCGCTTTCATCACATACAGGTAAATGTACAAACATCTTCTGGCCGCGCGCGCATACGTATCCTCTCTCGTTATATTAGGGTTTCCGTGTCCTCGTGCGTCGCAGGCTACAACGTAATGATCAAGTATGTGCCCAACTATGCGTGCGCGGATTCCTCGAGTTTTGCCTGCTTTTCGGAGGCTATCCTATGTAGCCTTTACAACAAGCTGCTATACCCGATGCTGCTCGCTCTGCCCGTATTATATACTTGCGAAGAGAGAGAGCCAAAAGTTAAGCGGAGCAGAAAGCGTATATCGAATGCTAATTTTCTTTGATCGAGTGTGTCGGGTAATTAGCGATTTTAGACCGCGTCCCATATGTCAGTCGAACTGTATTGCAGGCGGCAACGGCAGCACTGGCAGTCCGATACGATATTTCCGCAATCACTGGGGTGAAATGATGAATGGATTGACCACCTCCCCTCTCTTGTTCGATTAACGTGAAAAAATATGGTAATACACGGGCGTAAATCGTTATTTCATGACTTTCATTCAGTCTCGTCACCTGAATATTATTCGAGAGATTAACGACGTGATAATGGTTTTACTTTTCGATTAAATTCAACACTTTCGATGAGCATGCATATGATTCATGTCAATATATTTGAAATAGTTAAATATTTCATGAAAAGATAAGCATCGATAACCTGGTAAAAAAGCTCAACATTTTATGGCTACTTTTTGGCCGACAAAAAAGTCTTTTGGACATAAAATAGCCATTAGAACTGAACATATTTTAACCAAAAATCAAAGGGGTTTTCGACATAATATTTAACGTTATTTACAAAGAGCACGTTTATATGTCTATGTGAACGAAAAATGCTACTCTTTTTAAAGTACGTGACCATGTATTGCTTCTCATTTTATTGCAATTTAACTACCATATTTTGTCATTTTCAATTTTTCGATATTGAAAAATAAGTATCGTGGAACCATCGAATAGAGGTATCGAATAGAGGTATGTATATGAAATAATCGCGCATCTGGTGCTACGACTTATACAATAATTTGTACTTTTCCACTTGCAGATTTATAAATATTATGGACCTCGCCATCTAGTGGTAGAGGCTTAAAGTCGTATTATCGAAATTAACGTGGTCTAAATATTGTGAAACGACTAACCTGTCAATTTTAGATCATTTAAAACGCGATTAATGTATTTATTAAACAATTGTAATAGAAAAATCGCCAAAAACAACCCAATCGATCAATAGTGTATTTTAAAACATTTTAAATGACCTTTTTTCGTTCAGCAGGCTGTAACTGATATTGAACATTTCTCCCATATTCCGTAAATCTCGATTGAAAATTTGTTAGTAGCCAAATGAAAAAGTAAAACTTATGCAATAGCAACCATTGACGAAACAATAATCACGCCAAGTAATTTGCGCTCTGGATTTCAGTCGTTGCACGTGTGTGCGAATCCCGAACGATGTATATATACGTTGATAGCTCGGCTTAGTCAGTGCAACTAATTACTTCGCGAATACAATTGTAATCCTTGCTTATCCATTTTAAAGCCACGAAAGCTACAATCGTCGCCCACCCACATTTTCTGGCAAACTCTTGGCCGCATTTAAAACTTGCGACGTGTACTTTAGTCTGTTAGATAAAAAGTGTATCTTAAATTTTAATGAAGAAGTAAATATGTCTAAAATACATTTTCAATCGATTATTTATTGAATCATTTATTAAGTTCTTCTTCTTTTCTAGTATAATAGTTTTATTAAATTATATTTACGTATTTGAATTAGAGTACATTACGGTATTAGGTTTGCTTGAGATTTCATCTATCTCTAACCTAGATCTCTAAATCTTGTTATAGATAAAATCACTTGCGAGCTTCCACGTGATATTCTGAACATAATATAATGGATTCGAAATGTCAGTATCTAATTTTTCAGAGCAGCATAAGGTGTAAAATTTTAATAATATTTCTTTTGCTAGTAATGACTAAAAATCCTTCTAGGACGCGGCTAATGTAAAACATTTCAAAGAATTTACAAAAGTAAAACACGCTGGAAAGAGCGGGAATCTCGCAAATTCAAAATTATAGCCACTAAATCCTCTTTAATCGAGGATAAAGGATGGTTGATGCTCATAATATGTATGCCGCGCGCGTGTATATGTGTGGTTCAAAGTCTGACAACATGCACACGCTATCATATTTATAAAACGATATAATCTACTTACCGTAGGGATTTTCACGATTAGCAGGGACGAAAGTGCATGCACCATGTTAAATGAGATCTCGTTAAAATGAAATTTCCAACTTAGCCGCTCATGAAGGTACATGAATTTCGTTTATTACCGTCGTGAAATAAAAAAAAATAACAATGGCATTCCACATATATTATTTATATAACTCCCGGAGAAAACGAGTTGATATCGTACAGGCGATCGTAAAACGGAAAAATATATTTGTCTCTAGAGCATTGTAATTTTTAAAAAAGTTTCTATTCAAATCGCCGCCCTGCTGTGGAATAAAAATATTTGAAAAAAAAATACGGAAACAAAAAACCCCGTGAAAAAAATTTCAGCTTTTTGTGCCACGTCCATCTCTCTTCCGTCTTCTCTCTCTAACATCGGGCATTCATCAGAGTCCGTTTAGTAAACAACAAGTGTACATTGAAACTTGAAAAATAATTCCTGTAACTCACAACAATACACACGAGGATTAAATAACACTTTTTTTTCTGGCACATACGCATCTTCGGCATGGACTGCATGATCGTTTGCATGATTTATCTTTTTTATCGTTAAGAAATTGCTTAGCAGATTAATAGTTATGCAAAAAATTTTTTTTAAAGCTCAGTGAGTAGGCGTGGATAATATTCGTAAATAGTTTCATTTTACACGAGCTAATTACAACTATAAAATATAAATAGAGGAAAAAAGTTTATCGATCGTTCCGATTATTATTAATTTGCTGTTGAAGTTAAGCGTGGAGTAACTTTTGAATAATTTATTCCAACAGAAAGGTGTATTGTTCCACTCGTTATAAATTAAACTATGTGGTGTCGTACGCAAATTAAATTAATTTTCATGAATCCGTGTGAACTTGATGTTTTTAAACAAATTTAATTTTGTGTACAATTTTTATAAAAATATTAATTTTAATCAAATAAAATGAATTTTTTCAACGAAATAAAATTAGTATTCATGTACGAAAACTTTAGAAGAGAAATTTCTTAATGCATCAAAGCTTTGCTAAAATCTTTTGTTTTGTTTAACTTAATTTTACGGCAAAGAAAATCTAGTAAAATGAGTTCAGAACATAATCCAATGGAGCTGCGCAGAAAATTTACGAGCTTCAAATGACATGTATCATAAATTAATGTTATCAAGTTTTCTTGTTTAAAGAATTCAAAGCGCAATGAAGCAAACTACAAACTACATTGACTTTCTAACCCCCATATCTATGGATACTTTTTTATCATCAGTATATGATAGCTGTAAAAATAACAGTAAAAACTTCTCGCTCTTTTCCAAGTGAAAAAAATAAAGGAAAAGAACAAAGTATCATCAAACTTTGATAAGAAAATAGTCGGGTACTTTAGTAATTAGCCATGTGCAAAACGAAAGACCCAGAGGAATGTGACTCGTTCGAAAAATTAATCATAACGATGATAGTTTTTATTGCACGTAAATTAAAAAAACATTGTCGTTCATAAACTCGGGCTGTTTTACTACGAGATATGTGTCATACAAAATGAGTACAATAGGGCATTGCCAAAGTCACATGCTGGACAAGTAGATAACAAATGTTATTGTTAAACTTATTTTCATTTTAGAGGTAAGCTACTTTCAACAATATTAATTCAGATGGCATTTTCCGCTACTGAATGTACAGCGCTTGCCAAGAAATTTCAAACTAGTGAATCAATGCTCTTATTGAGAAGAGGATTAAAATGTTGTCACGAAACGAGTATGAAAAGTTTTTGGTCCGATATAGGCTTGCTTCATTAATGTCAGAGATTCAAATATATTCATCATCGCTTAATCCGAGCGAAACCTCTACAGTGCACAGTGTGTGCATATAGGTTGAAAAATTGATTACCGGGGAAGCAAAAAAGATTTATTCCCACACCCACTTTTGCAGCGATGCAGAAAACTTTTTTACCTTCGCTCAAATGCATGTGTATTCATGAGTTTGATTAAAATTATTAGGGGAGAAACTTTTTTCGAGCTAAGATAAAAATAAGCCTGATGGAAGATGTTGTACCGAAAGATGGAAAAGATGTACATCCTCGTTTAACGAAGAAACGAAACTGCTAATTCGGTTTTATCGGAGGTTATACATTTTAAAACTTGCTTGTTTTTGACCTTATTGTAAAAGTATAACTAAAAAGTCGTAAAATTGTAAACTCGACACAAATAAAATAGCCCGTGAGTTCGAAAAACTTGGAGATCCAATCAGCAAAAATCATCAGAACTTCGTACGCGACATCGTTTGATAACTCAATTTCCAACAATCGCTACTTTCTCCGTCGCTCTCGCTTTGTTCTTTTTTTTTTTAACAATCAAACGAATGGAAAATTTCTGAAAAAAGTAACGAGTTGTGGTTTTTAATTTTATTTAAAATGTGTCAGCGGCTAAATATTCTTGGTAGATTTGGGATTATGAAACGCTCTATGCATACGCAAATTTTACTATCGTGTAAAGAAACGTATATTTTTGCATACTCAAATACTAGTAAGATGAGCCAAGGATGCACTGGATTAAACGGGTCACATATTATTTTTGTTTTTTCTCGTGATTCTTGAAAACATTAAAGAAAAAGAAAGGCGCATCCGTAATGAAATTTTAAAACTATTTTTATCAAAAAAATTATGAAAATGATTGAAATTTCGCATAGAAAAAAGTGCCGCGCAAAGTCTTATGAAACGAAGATTAGAACTTTTCTTAATATTGCATATGCAACTTTTTGCACGGAGTATACTGTAGAGTTTCTAATATACGTCACGCTTGCGAAATATAAT